GGGATGCTTGTCATAGAGGATGTGGCATGTTGTGGCCGAACTGGCCCTGAACAGACACCACAGGTAGCGTTTTTGATGCACTCAATTCTCCAAGCACCACAGGCTCGGTGCTCCGGCCAGCGAGCCCTTACAATTGTGCATAAACTCTGATTCTATCTATACTGGGGAGGCCCTCCGTGGCGACACCGGTTTTGCTAGTGTTTTTGGACCCCAAAATGAAGGCCACACATTCACCCGAAAATGCAATTTAACTTTGGACACATCAATGGCCAAACCCACGCCCAGGCCTTTGTTAAGAATGGTTGAGCGCGAAGAATACTTGGAATGCCTTGGCGCAAGTGTGGAGCGCCCCGTTTGAAGAAACGCCGGGACTACAATGTTAAGGTTGCGTTTTGTGGGTTTCTGTTGGTCTTTGTGTTTGCTTGGAAGTTCATCACTCCGACCGAATTAAAACTTTGTAAAACGCAAACGGGGTGTCGGCACCGCGCATTGTAATAGAGGGCCCGAGCGGTACCGAAGCGGTACCGAGGCGGCACCGCGCATTGTAATAGAGGGCCCGAGCGGTACCGAAGCGGTACTGAGGCGGTACCGCGCATTGTAATAGAGGGCCCGAGCGGTACCGAAGCGGCGCCGCGCATTGTAATAAAGGGCCCGAGCCGTGCTGAAGTGGTACCGAGACGGTACCGTGGGCTGTAATACAGGAGAGGTACTTGGATTGGTCATCAAAAAACTCCTGTTTTCGCGATGCCACTTTTAGCTTCTGTGGGGAAGAAGATCTGTTTGACGATGCGCTGCAGAAGACAAACCCTCCGATTGAATCCTGCGGCAACTGACAATCTAATTTGATAAACAGGCTGTAAAGAACACAAAGAAAAACCAACAAAGAGAAGCTACCATGCTTCGCGGCCCAAAAAACAATTTGAACAAGCACAAGCTGCCGCACGAAACAGAAAATGGAACGCGCGCGGAGAAGGCTATATTCTCTCCCCAATGGAAATGAGCACGGAGTTGGTTTTTTGGAGGGACATGATTGCTGCGACCAATAGCAGGCTTGCGGAGTATTTTCGCCCGGAATAAGAATACACTGTTGTTTGTCAGCAAGGCTAATGCAAATACTACTCCGCGGCCTCTTGCACATGCAACTTCATTTCCCACACTAAGAGTCTATGGGGGTGAAGGGGTGGCCCGCTTGCCGTTGCCACGTCACCCAGAGCTTGATTGTAGCCGCAAAAACCCTGTATAGCGCGTTGCCAGGGAACGTGTAAATGTTGATGCTTAAGATGGAACCGGGACCCGGGCGGCAGCCTGGCGTAGCTTGCAACAAACACCAAGGACGTGAGCGCAAACCTCAACCATATCTTTTCCAAACCCCATCCTTCACAACATGCATCAAACAACAACGTCAAAAAAAAGTAAAACAAGGTTTCCTTGCCATACTGAACGACCAGAGATGGCTCCTGAACACAGGCCTATAAAAAACATACGCAAACATGACAGGCTCCACGGCTCCACGGCGCCAAACCTTCGCTCAACATCTCCCCACCCTTCTTCCCTCTCATCCAAAACTAAGACAGACCAAACAAATACAAAGACTCAGGGCGCTAGGTCGACTCACGGCGGATGTCCACCACAAGCATTGTAGCAAACAAACATGCACCAAGCGTGCAAGGCCGCAATCAGACTGCTGAAAGAAGCAGCTGACCATTGATCTGTAAGCTTGATTGTTATCATACACACCAAACGCTTTCTCCCCAGCAATTCTCAAATCTCACTGGTTTTCCCAACTTCTTGCTCCTTCACGGAATGGAAAAAAAGTGATTTTCGTGGGCACCAGTTTGGGGTCCAAAAACCACAGCAAAAACCGGTCTCGCCACAGAGGGCCTCCCCAGTTCAAGAGCATGTGCGGACATACATGCTTGCAGGGCGCGGCGAAGAATTGCTCGCGGCGCTGCAAAATCATGGAAACCCAGCGGTATGCAAAACCTGTCGCGTACCCGCGGAAACAATCGAAACTTGCACTATTTTTCAAAAAATTTGCCGACAAAACGACCCCCGTTTTGGGGTCCGTTTTTGGACCCCAAAACGGGGGCCAAGTCGCCCGGACAAGCAAATCAAATTGAGACTGAATGAATGGACTCCATTTTGGGGTCCGTTTTTGGACCCCAAAACGGGGGTCGTTTTGTCGGCAAAATTGTTGTCACCGAGCGAAAAAAAGCACAAGTTTCGATTGTTTCATCATGTACGCGACAGAAGTTTCCCATACCGCTGGGTTTCCAGGGCTTTGCAGCGCCGCGAGTACTTGTTCTCCACACCCTGCGAACATTTATGTCCACACATGTTCTTGAACTGTACGTACATTTACTGTACAATAAGTATGCATGATGTGCGATCACCTATTCAGTCTTACTGTGTTCAGCTGGTACCAGCGAGACGTCCACCAGTACGCGCGTTGGCCACTGGCTTCGTTTCAGCAATTCGCAGCAATTCTCGCCAGGAGCCGCTAGGCGCTTGGCAGGTCTCCAGGAAGAGACCTTGCATCGGCTGCGGAAAAGAAAGAGGCCTTGGAGCTCTCAGCGGGCTCTCAGCATGTTGCTGATCTGCCCGGAGGGTCCAAACGAGCAGATTCACCATGGTTCACCACGGAGCATGCTTTGAGTTGTGGCACAACTGAGGCAAGCTGGTTACAAGAAGTCTTTGGGATTGACCGTGGAATCTCATCTTCCACAATTTGGGAATCACTACACAAGAATCATGGTGAAGCCATGGGAGCACACTGAGCACACTAGAATGCCCCAGATTCTGCAGACTATGATTGTGCTTTGACTGTGAGAGCAGCAAGGTTCCTGCAAAGGTTTGAGGAAGGCAGCAGGGACCATAAGGGATCCACTTCTGGGGCTCCTCCATCGGGGGCCATGGTCTAGACTCGACGGAAGGGATGGAGCCAACCGACATATGTGATATGGCTCCTGCTGGTACAGGACGCTTGTTTCAAGATGGATTCCGGAGGCCAGTCCGTGTCAGTCGGAGAGTAAGAGGGTCTTAGTTGCACACCGGCCAGCCTGTGCGAACGATGTCCGTGGATGAATAGATTAACCATGTCACCATGTCCCCAAACAAATGATTCATGTTTCTAATCCCAAGTGATGGCCTTTTGGTCAGTATACACCTGGTTTGCGCTGCCTTACAGCCTGTTTGGGAGATGAAAGTTGCTGCACCAGGGTCCCTGCATTCTCCAGGCCGAGGGAGCAGCTGTGCGCTGCCATTGCCAGGCAGGGAACGGGTCGATCGTGATGCTTTTGCATTGTCTCTGAAGCCTTGACGGAAAAACCAACAGAAATCAAAGGACGTGTCGAGGTCCAAAATTGACCTGAAAGATTGATTTTTGTTGAGAACCTTGGCGACCCTTTGGTGAACCTTTGTTCGAAGCTGCGACCAAAGGAGAATGGTTAAGCTTGAAATGCAAGGGAAACTGAGGGTTGAGCTTATACACACATGGATTTGGCAAAGACATGCTTGTATAATCTTGTAGAGCGAAGCGGGACTTTCCTCTTGTTGCCTTGAAACGCAGACCAAACGCCGGTGGTTCTGCAATAGTTGGGGGTAGATGACACACACAGAGAGAGAACAAGAAACACTGCGCAACTCAAATTGCTCTGTCCTTTATAACTTCATGTGAGTTTCTTTCACTGTCGGCTAACCATTGTTAAAGCAAGGGAGCTCCCACACTGGCCTCCAAGAGCGATTTGTGCTCACAGAATCTGTGGTTTTTATGTTTATATTTCTAAATTTGCAGATGCATTATCCCACAGTGAGGGCATGTCCTGCTTCCACGTACAGGAACTTTGGCTAGTTGCTCACAGGATGGTTTGGTTGCGGGGAGTGTAGAGGGTCCGATTTCTTCACAGAGGTGAGATTTAGGATGTTTGGACAGGTTTAGGTTCTTGTTTGGGTAGGATCGACTGTGAAATGACCTAGTGGGGTCAAGAGTTTGATTGGTTGTCCAAGAATTGTGGGTGGCTTGTAAGGTTGCCATGTACGTATATAGTCCTTCACTCCAGGTATTTAGATGTATTTAGTTGGTGCAACCACTAACTACAAGCCGTTGTTAGAAAATGACTTGGGTACAACATGTTGGGATGCTTTGTTTATCGAAACCCATGGCCAAATGATACAATGTCCCCATATGCCCTGTGGCATGGCCTAGCCCTGTGTCGCAACGCCAAAGGTTCCATGCGGAATCTTCCATGATGATGGTCGCATCGCTGGCATTCTGGAGGTGAGGGGTGGGCGATGCCAGGTCCCATGGTCAACCACTAGAATCCTTGGCTGGATATCCCTGATTTGGAAACCCATTCCTTATATGACGTATATAGTAGTTTTTGATGTAACAGTATGTAACAGTTATATCATATTATATCTAATTTGACAATTATATTTCACTAATTGTATTTTATGAACAGTGAATTACTATACATACTACTATTATTATCATATATGGTTGCATTAACAATATCCCTTTTTGTTTAATTATGTATGACATTTGGTGACATTTTAACATATGTCAAATATATCTAACATGGTGGTCATCACAAATACTGATGAAAAAAAACATGTATAATATATTGCATGTTTATGTCAAACAAATTTACAAAACGTTGTTTGATATATACTGGTTGTCGAGTTAATCCGTTGTGTTTTTTCGAGCCATACAGAAGCAGGAGGAGATAAATGAAACAGTATACAAATAAGTTTAGCAGGGGACGAGCTAGACTGTCAAACCTGCCTAAAAGTATCCTCCTTTGTAAGGTCCCAACTTTGGAAGCTAATTACTGTATCATATAACCACTCAGAAGTCAAAAAAGGATACCCTCCCATAGTCCCCTGCTCTTCTTGAAAAGGGTAGGGCTGCACCACTTCCCAAACACGTGTTCCCACTGTCTTCACTACTTTGCCGTGAAGATCTGCGAAGCACCGCAACCTGCCGCTGCTGGCAGGATGCCATGACGATTCGGAAGGCCGTGGCACAGTGCCAGGAGCTTTGCAAATCTGGAAAGCTCCAGGACCGAGGCACGATTCAGCCGACACTCTTGCCGAACATGCTGATACCCACAAGGTGTTCATAGGAAGAAAATGGACCAAGTTCTGATGTAGGGCAGTGACCCCGCTGCGCCCACGCTGTCGAACCCACTTCAATGCCCAAGCCCAGATTGCAAGTGGTTTGTCAGTGATACCAAGTGTGCACCCTGCTTTTGAAGTGATATGATGATATGATTGAAATGTTTGATATTCCTTTAGACAACCGCTAGGATGGGACCTGACGCAGACAACATAAATGGAAATTAGACTAAACCCACATGTAGAAAATGCTGTTTGTGCGGTTTGTGATTATATAATACCACATAACACCCAGCTTGATGCTGTTTGCCAACTCCGTTTTGATCCATCGCAGGACACACATCAGTGGTTGCCTCAGAGCATGCATGCTTTTAAACTGAGGCAGTTGCAGAGCTGTGTCCTACCAAACAAAGTACAAGAACTGATGCATGGTACGGTATCTATGGGCTTTTCTTCATGTAAGTTTTTTTTTAGAGGACAAGAATGGTAGTCGGTAGTTTGGATGGGTGATACTCCAAAATCGGGTTCACTCAGATCAGGTTCTGAGTAGCAAAGACATGCAAAGACCGTATCATACAAAATCACACAACTGCTAACCAAGAAATGATAAGACAGTTTATGTATACATGTGTTTGTTCCGTGAAAACCAGTGTTTAGATGTGTCACAGCTATAGCTCTGAGCGAAACAACGAGTTTTCCGCGACCAGTGCCTGGTCCATAGGGACTCGCCTTCTGCGTCCGTGCGTCCGTGCGAGGTTGGTCCGGTGGATCAACACAAAGGAAGAGCATGTACGCCCCTCAGAAACCAATGTTTGCAGAGAGCAGCTCTTTTTAGGAGAACGGTTCTGAGATGTTGACGTTTGATCCAAATAGTGGGGGAAGCTCAGTTGTGGATGGATTTTCATGAACATTAGCAGATTAGCAGACTTGTATTAATACATGTTGAGCCCTGAAATGATGAGGCTTGGTGAGGGAAACTGTGATTTAACCAACCCGGTTGGTCTCAAAATCGGGGGAGCCTCGAAGCTCGCTGCTTGATAAATGACTGGCCACACCCATTAAGAGGCAGAGTGTGATCCATTTCACTGCAGAAGAATGTGTATCATCCCCAAAGACTTAAAGACTATTGGTTCGTTTCGTTTTCAAATTACATGACACCAAGAGTCACTGTTTGCATGTTTTGTCATGACCGATCTGTGCATAGTGATTGTAACGCAATTCCACAAGCCATGCCACAGAGCCAGAAGACACATTTCCCATCGTCCAAGGCATCAAAGCTTATGCACACGATCGCGGAGTGTGGCACTCAGTCTGACCGAGGAGACATCCGCGACTGCAACTTTTTGGACCAATAGAGACATGGAAAGAGTTGGCAGTCTAGCTATGCCCTTGTTTTTGGGAGCGTGGCTTGAGGGTGTTGACAGATCATGTGTTTTACTCGAAGGCTTTGTCGAGGTCATTTTTGCAAGGAAGAGATGCAAACCACTAGACCAAGGTTGTTGGGAGGGTGATTCGGGTTTTGGGATATTCCAACAATATGGTATATGATGGTCAAAAATGTTGGAGCTGGCAGACATGAACCGGTCTGGTCAATCCTACAGCTGCGGTAGTGGCGGCGTTGCTGTTGTTTCGCTTTTCTGGCAATCCGAAAAGGCGGAAATCCACGGTCCTCCCAGGTCCCGGTCAACTCTTTTGGATCCTCCCCTTTGTCCAAACGGACTCCAATACAGTGGTTTCAGAGTAGATGGCACTGGCACCCGAAAATTTCTTTTAGATGGGGATCCATATAAACCACCTTTTGGGAAAAATGCAATCTATTCTGAAACCACTATATGTGTTTGGTCTAAAAACTCCGCCTGAATTGTTGATTTCGTCAAACTTTCTGGGTTTGGAGCCATCATAGTCTTACGTGTTACATGCCCTTGCCACGACACGCAAAGCTGGTTGCCAGTCTCTAAGACTCAAAGACTCAACACTTTGCAGAGAGCAGTCCCATAGAATTCAATACACGTTGTTGCTGGCCCAGGTACTTCTTGGCGCAAAAGGTGAAAAAGGAACAGCTTTCTGAGCACGACTACCTGCAGGCGCTATCCCCACAATACCACAACAGGGTGGGCGCTTCACACCAGGTGAACCGATTTGAACCGATGTTGCGTTTCGCCAAACCTGCGCAGCCGCACGCACTTTGCGAAAGAACGTTTGCACACCCGCACTGATGGCCCGAAGACGAATTGAGGATTGGATATCAAGGGCCCATCGGCGCCCGCTATATTCCATCCGTTCCAGTGCCACTTTGTCGGATAAGTTGTGCACTGAAAAGATCTTTGTTCCTGTCATATTATGATGAGCACCACAAAAACCTCTCGAGATGAGCCAGTAATGGTCTTGTCAAATGGAACTTGGGCGTATTATAATTAAGCGAAAAACTGAGAAGCATATGGTGGGGTGGAGTCGTGAGTCGTGCAGAGTCATGCATGTTGCGTATGCTGTGTTTACGGTCTTATTCTACTTGATTCAAACATGTATATCCTATGCCTTCCAGTCAACCGTCGCATAAGCGATTCCGTTGGACTTATGGTTGGCATGTCATGGGGGTTCAATCATACCTGCAGAGCTTATAATGATTATCGTTGACCGAAACATGGGGAATATACTGTAAACAATAGCTAGAGCGTCCATGAACTGTACATTTTGCGCAGGTCTTGGCATTGCACCATGCTGTCCGAGGGCCTAGAGCGACTGCTGGGTCACACACCGGCGAACCTGTTGGTGACGGGGAACCACAGTTCGGTAGACCGAGTGTTTGTCCTTTACTGTACCGGTCAGCTCGATATCGGGTTCACCGAGTTTTGACCAGCGTTTTTTTGGTCCTTTGGGAATGGGAAGTCTGCAAAGCTGCTAGGGCGCGGCGCGGCGCAGCATACCTCAAGCCAGCTCAAGACTTACCCAGCTTACCGTTGAAGCAGACTTCGGATGCTCCGTGGACTGTGACAACTTTGGTGCGGTCTCCAGTGCCACGCACATGTCACTAAGTTGGAACTCTCCACCCGGTCTCAGTGATCTTTGTTTGCTTTCTTGACACCAAACATCCAGCATTTCCCCCAAAATGTCACCTGAGCATACCTGAGCATCTTTCAGGGCCTAGGTGTTGAAATTTACTAAAGACATGTTCAGAAGGACACTGTGCACTGTGCGTAAGCAAAAACCCTTGCGAACCAGGTCTTCGGCCCATCTTGGTCAGGTCTTGGTGGCCGCCATGAAGACGAAGCAGTCCTCGGAGATGGCACCCGCTGCTGGGCGACGAAGCTCGCAGGTCGACGCATCACGACACGAAGCATCGCTGATTCCAAGAAGGGGGTTCTGTTGATCGTTCCTCACAGGCCTGATAATCGGTACATCACCCCATAGTAAAGTCAGGAAATAAATACATGAATATTTGGGACATTTTGGGACTCTGTGACCATTTTTTGAGAGTTTTCATGGCATGGGGCAGTTATTGCCATATTACTATATTTATTATTGTATTATCGTATCTTTGCACTTGAGGAAACCCACAAGAATTGAACTTAAACCCTATTTCAGATGAAGCAAGCCTCCTAAAACCATGGGATTCCTGGGATTGTTCAAAGACGCGAGTGGCAGATTCACAACCGCTCCGAGGTGGATGCGCTCGACAAAGCCATCCAGGCACCTCATGCACCCTCCATGTCGACATTGTTACCGCGTGGCACGGCGGCGCCAGGCAGTTGGTGTGCGCGTGTGATCACGACCAGCGTCCGATTTCGACCACATCTTCCAACCACCGACCTTTGCGGTCGGGGTTTCAGAGGTTTTTGGACGGTCGATTGAGCACTCGGGGCACCCCACGGGAGAAACACCGTCGCTCAGATCGACCGTTTGGTTAGGTTTAGGCAGACGCTGTGCCTTGGCGATTAGACGATAAGGACCGACAAATAGCTGCAGACACTGACCATTCCAAAGCTAAAGATGCGTATAAATATTTGCTACAGAGAAAATATGGTAAGGGATTGGTAGGGCCATTTTTGTTGAACAAACCTTCCTGTTTTTGTGCTGGCAACCATTGATGTCAAGCAGCATGTTCGTGCAACGGAAGGGTGTCTCTTTTGGGGCGCTTTGAACGAAGGTGCACAAAGCAAGATAAAACACGATAAAGCAAGACAGACTGCCTATAGTGTCCATAGTGTTCTAAAACATTCTAAAACTATATTTCAATATATTTCAATTGTATGAAGCATCAGCAAAGCATCTTTAGAGGTCTCGATCTTTACATTTACATTTGTCAACATCGAAATCGAGGTCACTAATTTCGGAGCTCATATATACTGAACTTGCCATTGGGGCTTGCCAGGGGCTGCCTCCCATTATTCGACGCTGTGGAAGTTTTCTGTCCTCGTTCTGCGCTCCGAATCGAGGCCTTGCGCCCAGTCTACGAGAAGAAGTAGCCCACATCTGTCCGGCGATTGCAACAGGCTGAAGAGTGGTCTTTGCGGGTTTTCGGGGAGTAGGGGCATGGGTGTCATCTACCGCACAGCGAACGCATGCGAACGCCGATGTATAAAATTTCTATGACTGCATGATGCAAGACTTTAGACACCTTTAAACCAAACTTGCAACAGAAGCTAGTATACAATTATCATCAAGTATTTTTGACTAGATGAAGATGGTGGAGTTTCTGCACATTCTCCGGCTGCATTGACCCCCTGATCGAGTTTGATGGTCGAACCGGTCTATGGAACTGCGATCCCAAGATCACCGACGTCGGTTCTGTGGGCCTTTCGGACTTCTTGTTTGCTTCTACACCTGTGGTGTTGCTCCAGAAGATGTAATGGGGTGCATGATAACCTGGTGAATCGCAGATAACCTGGTGAGGTTTGGCCAGTAACTGTACTTCAACTATACGACAAGGTGGCTTTGAGGTTTGGGGCAAGGTCGAGGTGCAAAGATGATCTTCACAAGGTATTGTTGACGTTTTGATGTCGAGTCAATCCAATGTTGAACGAGTTTGTCTGTAGATTCAGGCACCAAGGCACCTCGGCGTTGAGCCAAGCATGCTAATCAATGTAGTTTCATGTAGTTTCTAAACCGGGGATTATGCTGAGCATTGCAGAAACATCCATCTCTTGTACTCAGATGGATGGATAGTTTATTTTAATATATATATATATTATATCACGATTGCAATCGCTTCAGCTGCTTGCTGTGTGCTCAGTTTCGGCTCTCAAACTCCAATGGGAGGCTACCGTTCTTCGTACGAGTGCAGCTCGCTGCGCAAGTGCGACATGTCCATCCTTCATATTGCTGCCTTGTTGCTTGGAATCTGCCCGGCTGGCACTGATGGTGTAGATTGCGAGATTTCTCCCAGCCATGGGAAGGCATTGATCCAAATGCGGCAGGCGATGAACGATGCGCCAATGAAGTCATGTTTGTCATTCATTCACATTCCCAAGAACATGGGTGGTACAGTTGAAATTGCTGGAAACATTGCCTTTGGCGTGAACCCAGCAGACTCAAATGACACGTGTGCCAACTGGGCTGCTGGCAACAGAACCTCATCCAACCAGAGGTTCTGGGGATACTGTGATGATCACCTCAATTGCTCGAATCGCATTAACATCAGCCATTGTGGTGTTCCAGCTGGCACAGATGCTCCTGTCGATCAATGCCATTTCCAGCACTTCCCACCTGCCTGGGATCCAACGCTAGCAGAATCTTATGTCCAGTGCGACACCTTCTGTATCTTGCGGCATCCAGTGGATCGATTCATCAGCTCATTCTTGTGGGTTCACCGGAACGAAGACGACCTGTCTTATTGCAGTCCTAAAGCTTTGGAGACCTATGCTGTGAAGCACTTGAAGGATTTGAGCGTTCTGGATTGCTTTAAAAAATTATTGATTGTTTGATAGTTGGAGCCCCATAAGAGATTTGACTTCACCTTAAAATACTAGAGACTTGATAGAGACCAAAGCTAAGGTTTGTTGTTTGTTCTTCCCAAGAGCCTTAAGCAAATCCAAGGTGTCCATAGGAATAGACTCAATGGTTGTCTTCTCGTGCCGCAAGTCTACTACGTCTTTGAGAAAGGTGATCCCCAGCAGCCGCAGATTTGCCGCCATGTGCTGCACATGGATTCAATCGACCATGAGTTTCCTGCCTTGATGAAGAGCTATGGCTTGTCCGTTGACCTCGAGGGATACTGGAACCATCGGTCGAACGATTGCCATGACTTCTCTCCCACGCGAAAGACCATCAAGCTTGTGGAAGACTTCTATGCTCAAGACTATGAAGCCTTTGGCTTCTCCCGAGATGCCTAGCAAGCTGTGCCCACCAGAGACATTCCTGACGACAACCCGATCAGACGGCGCGGAAGACAAAACGGTGCAATGCTCCGTACCTGTTTAGATGGAGCTCATATCGAAGACATCCTGGAACATCCATTGGCATGTGTCTAACTATGCATACAAAGAAACCCCGGGCTGATGACCCTGAAGTAAGTAACTCTTCCAGTCCCATGGATGGTTTGGGTATGTCAGGCTGAACCTGTCGTTCCTTGAAGGTACAGACGGGTGGAGCGGATCGGGGGATTCATCCCACGCTGGTGGACGGACGGTTGGGTCTTAGGGGTCTTTGGAACCCATCAATGAGTCAGTTGATACATGTTGATACAGACCAACGTCAAACATGCTACCTTATGCCACGTTTACAGATTCGTACCAACCAACTGGCGGTTCTGCTGGGCGTGATTTGGCGCCATGGTCTGGTTTTGACATGTTTTGACCTCCCAAACAATCACTATTGATTCATCTTTGGATCGTCCATTTGCCGGATGACTTCCACCCGTACACTTGGACTAGGACAAAGGACATAAGAAATTGAAATGGCCATTCCTGGCTTACTGTTTCAGATCTCGATACACCCCACGCACCGAACCTTTACTTGCTGCGGGCAGAAACTGCCGGAGAATCTGCGCGGAAAGCCAGGTGGACTGGAGCCGGCCGGAACCGCTGGGCGGTCGAAGCCACAAGATCGATTCGAGGAAGAAAGGTCCGACATGGTCCAACCATTTCGTGATCAGAAGAATTGCTCCACCTGAGAGAAGGCCCTTCATGGATATCCATGATTCATCGTATTTGCAGGTGTGATTGGACAAGTCATATAATGCAAGCAAGTTCAATCCATCTAGGCAGCAAAGTCAGGGAGATCGACAGCAGGTTACGGTTTCTTGATTTAGTTTTGAACATGTTGTCGTCAAGCTGAGTTCAACAAAGAGTAGATATGTGACAGGCAGAAAGCATCAAAAACAAGTGACCACCGTGTTTTGCCCTTATATTCCGCTATATTCCGCTAACAATAGAACCGTTTCTCTATATTATATATACACTATATATATATATGTAACATGTATATGTATATACAATTATATACACATATTATGCAACATTTGTGGGGGGCGACAGCTTGGCTTCATGAATGTACAAATGCAATGGTTGAAAGATGACTAGCCTAGCCTGGCATACATACTTGGCTAGATTAGCCCACAACACCAAACCCGGAAAGACTTATACTTATGGGCAAGATTTGGCAAGACAGATCGTGGTGCGGAGAGTATCTTTACTGTAACCAAAGCCCGATTGGACCCAACCATCAACACGTTGGAAAGACGAATCGATTTGGGCAAAAGAAGACATGCCGCACCATTGATCTTGTAGCCTCACCTGTGTCACGACACTTCAGGGCCCTCACAAGTTGTGCCAATGAACATTGATGAAACACTGGGCCATGTCAGGACCAAGAATTGCCAGCAGATTGTTTTGCATCCCCGGAGTTGTCAGGTAATTTCATCAGGGCCTTTGTTCTGTGAGAGTTTTGATTATATACATGTTCATTTATGTTGAGGAAGGACGTATTGTGGTGCATCAAACATGTCCAGGAAGAGCAACCACATATGTTGGAAACATTGTGATCGTATAATGTGACTGAAAGAATTTTGATCAAGGCATGATTGTTTTGCAGCCATGTGACCCTCGCACTTTGACTCACGATGCAGTGCTTTGAGACTGTCCTGCTCAGTCCGGAGCAGCAGTTGCAGCTGGCACATTGGATTGCAGAGGCAGACCCTCATGGCAGTCATACCTTTGAGCTTTTGTTTCGAGCTTCCAATGATGGTTTTTGCGCTGCGGCTTTCCATGATAGGTGCGACAGGCAAGGGCCCACAGTAGTGGTGGCCAGGAAAACAGACGGTTACTTGTTTGGGGGGCTACACTGACATGTCCTGGGATTGCAACTCTCAGTGGAAGCAGTGCAAGCACGCTTTCTTATTCTCCATTTCTGGCGCCAACAAGCGGAAATACCCCATCGTTTGGGGCCGGTTCAAAAAAAACAGGAATCTTTTGTGGTGCAGAGCATGGAGCGACCTTTGGTCGGGAGGCGGCATGGTCTGAGCACGACATGAACTTGTTCCATTGTTGTGCCACTACAGCAGCCCGGTTCTGCCCCCGCGTTGGCTTTTGTGACGGCGACAACTCCGACAAGTTGTCAGTCTCGTGTCAGGTGGACCAGGTTGAGGCATTCGCCGTGCGAGCCTGTGCTAAGCACGATGCACGTGCAGGCTCACTTCCCGAAGCACCTCCAGTTTCACATGCAAGCTCTCTTCAACCGGGGCATGCGTCTCTTCTCGAAGCATCTCCTATTTGTAGCGAAGCACCTCAATGTTCCCACTCAGGGATGCCTGACCATGCCCGCTTTTGCATGCACTGCGGGCAGCCTTTGAGGCGATCGCAGGCCCGAAGCAGGTCGCCCGACATGCGTGGCAAGTTTCGTGACGATGGCGGGCTGGATCTGGAGATCGTGGGGTTCAAGCTTTTTCCTGAGGAGGAATGTAGTGATCACCATGGGGATGAATTGCTTTGGGATCGCTTTCGTGCCCGTCTCCTGGATTTTCATTCCGAAAGTTGCAAAAACTGGGATGTGAAGGAAGAGATTGAGGAGACTGGAGAGGTTGTCACCGTCCCCATTGGTGCAGTATTCAACCTCCAGCAGCGGTGCAGCAGTCGGTTCCGAGATGGTAGAACACTCGAGCAGACCATTCGGCAATTGAAAAACGGCCAGGTCAATGAATTGAAGCACCCAAACTTCGTGCTGAATGTGGCCAAGGCTTGTCTCAACGGCCATGCGCTCTACTGGACTTTAGACCACAGGCGTTTCCTGTGCATGAAGCTGGCCGGCAAGCAGCATGTGCGTGTGAGGATTGTCCTGGCAGGCCGTGCGTTTGATGACTTTGCCCGTAAAGCTCGGGAGCGTCTTGGACGTGATGATGTCATTCGAGTGAATGGATCGTATTTCTGATCCTGGTGGCATCATGTGGCATTCAGAGTCCGCAATGGTCTGTTTCTATGACACATTATGACACTTTGGGTTGGCAGAGTTTTCGATAAGGATCAACGCCTGC